AGAGAGAGAGAGAGAGAGAGAGAGAGAGAGAGAGAGAGAGAGAGAGAGAGAGAGAGAGAGAGAGAGAGAGAGAGATTTTGGGCTATGAGCGCCCAGGATCTGATTCGACATTCTGAGAGAGACGATTATTGGACGTTTGACAAGGGGAGAATATTTTGGACTGTTGTGAGTTGTTCTCTTGTCTTCTCCCCCTTCTTCCTCCTTAGTCTGTGGTCTTCTCCCCATGTGTGTGTGCAAGGGATTTTTCTTCCATGTATGTCTCCCTCCTTGCTGAGCCAACATGTGTGATGATGCTTTATGTGAGTCGGACGAGTCAGACGAGGGAGACCATTTTGGACTACGCGAGTTCTTCTCTTGTCTCCTTGCCCTCTTCCTCCTTCGTCTCCTCCTCATCACCCTCATCTGTGGTCTTCTCCCCACGTGTGTGTGCGAGGGATTTTTCTTCCATGTATGTCTCTCCTTTCTGATCCGACATGTGTGATTATGCTTATATTAGTCGAGTCTGAGCCGGACAAGTCAGACCATATCTTCAAGTCTTTTCCGCTGGGCTTCATTGCATTATATCGTCTCTTTTCTGATGCGCATTTTTGCTTATTTGCTGATTGCATTGTTTGTTCCGATTCGTAATATTCGTAATGTTCACACTGGTGCTTCTTCAGACCTTTGCATCGCTCATCTCATCTTCAGATGAGCATGCATCGCCCATGTTGTTGCAAACAGGGAGCAACCTTATTGCTTGATCCTAGCAACACCGAACATCATCAGGACGACTCATAAGAGAAGAGTGAGGCACATCACACACATCATTCAATCAACACTCCGCGATAAAACAACCGCAAAGTCGCCGAGAAGCAAGATCGCACGGCAGCAGAACTGCATAACGAAAGATAAACCCATGTGCTTGGCGTTCGTGCAAGTTGATGAACCACTCGTTCTCGTCCATTACTCTTTTCATTTGCCAGTGCAAGATTTTCAAGGGGTTTTTCATCTCGGGGTCTGGTGGTCGGCAGGTATCTCCGCGCATATGCGCACTAGAACAATCTGACGGGTATCTGACCGTAATTACGGCCCTACTTGGATGTATCTGACAGCAATTACGTCCAAAAAAGTGAGTTAAAAAATCCTAGTGTGCTCTTAAGGGGTCTCAGGAGCGTCCTGGCAGCCATTTACGGTGTTTCGGAAGCATTTTGAAGAGGGGTTGGGGGCTGGGGTGTTGGGGGGAGGGTGCTGGCAGTCGTTTACGGTGTTTCGGAAGCATTTTGAAGAGGGGTTGGGGGC